GTGTAGATGTGGCACTTGGGTACATGGTTTAGAGGTAGACTTGGTAGTGCTGGGTTAATGGTTCGATTTGATGATCTCGAAGGTCTTTTCCAACATAAATGATTCTATGATTCTATGAATATAGGAGGGACATTTAACATACAGAATGACCCAAACATACATAGAGCTCATATTACTGCCATTTTACAAAGTCCCAGGGGAAGCAGTTCAGAGATTATGTCAAGGTGTTGGGTAGGTGTGCCCCAAAATCTGGCCTTTAAGCCTAAAGCATCTGCTTTTTTTTGTAGAATCTGTTAATTCTGTAAGGCAGATTAACTTTGAACTACATAGTTAGCAGTGTTGTAGTCATGTAGCCACTCTGAAATGGCTGACTGTAATGAAAGGTCTAAGTTACTTTGCCATTCTGCTAGAACAAATCTGTATGTCATTTGTTTAGTTGCAAATAAATCTCCAGGCAAAACTACGTAAACAGAGCTGCCCCTCTACAAAGAGAAAGGTTATCAGGACATTAATTGGTAGCTAAACTTAGGATATCTGAGGGGATGAAAATCTGGAAGCAAAATAAAATGAACAAACACCAAAGATGAGAAAAGGAAAAAGGTTTGGGAATTACAATTTCCATCTATGCTAATGAATTAAACATACCCTGGACATAGGGGTAAACTGCAAACTAAAACTTATGTCCATTTTATTAAAGATTGGAAAACCTCCTGATCAGGACACTGAGAGAGGACATACGTATTGCACTGGTTTTGACTAGGATAAATTTCTTTATAGTAGCTACTATGGGTCTGTGTTTTGGATTTGTGCTGGAAGTGGTGTTGATAACACAGGGATGGTTTCATTATTACTGAGCAGTGCTTACACAGACTAAAGGGCTTTTCTGCTCCTCACCCCACCCCTCCAGCAAGGAGGCTGGGGGTGCACAAGGAGGCTGGGAGGGGACACAGCTGGGACAGCGGATCCCAGCTGACTCAAGGGACATCCCAGACCACCATGTGGCATCATGCTCAGCATGATGTAAGACTGGGAGAAACAGATAGAAGGAGAGGACATTCAGAGTGATGGTGTTTGTCTTACCAAGTCACCCTTATGTGTGATGGAGCCCTTTGTCCTTGGGACGGCTGAACATCTGCCTGCCCATGGGAAGTGGTGAAGGAATTCCTTGTTTTGCTTTGCTTGCACAAGTAGCTTTTGCTTTTCCTGTTCAACTGTCTTTATCTCAGCCCACGAGTTTTCTCACTTTTTCAGTTCTCTCCCTCATCCCACCTGGGGGGAGTGATTGAGCAGTTGTGTGGGGCTTAGCTCCTTCTGGGGTTAAACCATGACACCTATTCACTGATGGCAAGGTTGAGAAAATGTTAATTAATTTAAATGTCTTACCTGTCATGTAACATTTGATATCCTGAGAGTTGCTAATGGGGTTGTTGTTTTTGAACATATACAGGTTGAAAGGCATTATATTATTGCTACTCAGATGCTTCCACATATCATGGTCTGGACTTGTCCACCGACCCGCTAGCACATCATAGTCTCTCCGTCCCATGTGGATAAGCTTTGTGAGGGGGTCATACAGTCCTCCATGGTAGCCAATGATGATCTGGAAGTTGGGATTGGTGTCCATATAGATCTCCCCATATGCTGTGTACAGTATCTGCTTGATCATTAAGCCAGTCCCGCTGAAAACAGCCAAAGGAGTGCCAATGTTATCGCAAGCTATGTAGAATTCATCACCGCTGCTGAGCTCCATTGCAAAGAGGTGGCCTTGGAGGTCATAGTAAAGGGAGGTGATCTCAGAACTTGAGTGGTTGTATAGATGGGTGACCTTGGTTGGGTTGGTCAGATCTGCGTAGAAGAACTGCAAGTGATGACCATGGCTGGTTTTGCTGGAGACTCTCCTCCCTAGGCCATCATAGCGGTACTTCACACTCCACCCACTAACTTTATTGTAGGCTTTGATGAGCAGGCCAGCTGAATTGTACTCAAAAATATCATTGCCCCTTTGCTTCAGGAAGCCATCTTCATCCATTTTGTACTGCACATCCCCCAGTCTAGTAATCCTATCCCTGAGGTCATACCTGAGCGGTGTAAGGCGGGCACTATTCCCCGGACTCAACAAATGGAGGTTTCCATTTAGGTCATAGCTGTAACGCCAGAGTGGTTTGTCATTGATAGACACTGTCTGCAACTGGCCATCAGCATCATATTCATATGAGTACCTAGTTGTGTTTGCATAAGGGCCAACCTTCAGCTCTTTCTTAACCACTCTTCCCATGTTGTCGTACTGCACAGTCATCCAGTACATGAGAGACCGGAATATCTCATACTGGACCTCCTTCATTCTGCCATAGGCATCAAAATGTTTAGTATGAGTCATGACAGCAGTGGTGATAATCTGGTTGATATCGTAGTAAATTACTCCAAATTTACCAAATTGCTCAGTTTTGCCTGACACGTCATCATACCTGTAGAGATCAATAGGTAAAGGTGTCTCGTTGATGACTGCTTGCATGCTGGTCACCCGAAAGCTGTTGTCGTAATTGTAGTCAAAGCGTGCATTCACCATGCCTTCCTCAGTGAAACGGAAAATCTGTCGATCAATGAGGGGCCCTATTTGTCTGTACCTGATCGTACAGGTGAACCCTTCATTCTGCAAGTTGATGGTCTTCAGCATGCCAGCAGTTTCATCGTAAGTGAAACTGATCTTTGTGGTGTCATAGAGCATCTCAGCTAACTTGGACAATTTTCCGTACTTGTAGATGACACGTCTCCCTGTGCCCAAGTACAAAGTGTGGAGGAGCTGCTCATCCTCTGTGAAATCCTGAATAACCGAGGCGTTGCCTTCTGGTGGTCGGTAAATGTTCCTGTAGTAGCCAATGGAACGAATGGTTTCTAAAGTCTGACGTGCAACATTGGGCATGGTCACCGATGACAACCGGTCATTCTTGTCAAACTCAAAGATGTACTGTCTCTGGCTGTGAAGGAGCAGCACCATGGACTGGATGGGAAGAAGGAAAGTACAGATTATATTCCCAGGTTTTGAGCAAAATTATACTCTCACAAAACCTGTAAGATTCTTCAATCCAAAGAGCAGGGCAATTGAGACAAATCTCTGCACCCACAGAATTAAACAGTGAGAGGCAAGCAGCTGCAGAGCACAGCAAGTATCCCCAAGCAGGAGTGGGTCAGAGAAAGAAGCAGTCAATGCAGTGAGGAAGGTCTAAGTTCAGAACGCTCAGTAGTTCAAATCAATACCCTGTAGCTGACTGTCTCTACCCAAATTCCCCGGGCCAATAACTTTTACAGACTAAATAAATAAAATCGGTAAACCTACTTAAACATGCTTGAAAAAGTATCCCCTAACACCTTCCAATGCTGAATTAATTCATTGTGTCACCTTATCCTCTGTTATTCTCTTACTCACAGCTTCTGTGTGCATGCTTATTTGCTCTGGGATTTTTTTGAATATAACAAAAAATCCACATAGGTTACATAATACAAGGAGTAAGTCAATACTTTTTCCTTTTTTAAAAGATATGGTACTACAGTTTTCTTAAACTGTTTTAGAGATGGATGCCGTAAAAAAATCAGGAATAAAAAATTCCAGTCCCCCGTATATAGCATATGGATTTATAGGTCACTGGGCAGTGTAACAATTAACGGTAATACCCAGAAAAATTAAGTCCCACGCGAATCTACAGAATGAAGACTGCAGGATACACTGCAAAGTGTGCTACAACAGCGTGGCTGGATTTATGTCTTGCACTTTTTAATTACATGGATTTCCTATAAAGCAGGAATGGCCCGCATGAAGAACGCAGGATGTCAGACCGTATGGGTTGTTTTCACATGGAAAATCCCAGTGAAAATTTCTACTATTCACTCTGATGACATTATCTGAATATATTTTATATTGCAGTTAACTCAACAAATGAAAATTGTGCTTAAAAAAGATGTGAAGGAGTGCAGCTGAACTGATGTCAAAGGAGTAAAGTCCAAGTGCTTCAAAGGCACTGTCTCTTGAGTGGTAAGAGGATTCTTACCTTCTCCAAGTAAGTGTAGCTCCATGATTTGCCATCAGCAAAGATCCTGGATGTAATTCTGCCAGACTGGTCATACTCCATCCTTTCTGACATTGTGCCCCTCTGAATCCCCGCAATGTGTCCTCCTGGGGAATAGGTGACATTGACCCCATTCAGTCTGCTGCTTGGTGACCAGAGACTGGGCCTCCCTGCCTGGTCGTAGAGGATGCGGAGCGTGAACTTGCGGTGGTCATCATAGATTTTCTCTGTCCTTGTCACACGATCAAAGTCGAGGGACAGCAGGTTTCTGTTGTGAACCTACAGGAAAGAGATGGAGAATTAGGAAGCTGGAAACAGTTTAAGTTAGAAAGACCAGCCTTGTTTCACCAAATGCCTTTTTACACCACACTGGAGAGTATCCAGCAGTTCACTGCCTCTGGATAAGAGGCAATTTTTAAAGCAAAGGGTTGTCCTAACATTGCTTCTGTGACTTCAGTGAAGAAAGAGGCAGAAGAATGGTACTTTTGAAACACCACCACAGCGAATGAATACTGCCCAAATCTACGTTTAAGACTGCTACAGCAGACGTAACTACAGAACACAGAATGACAATTTGTTGCAAGGAATATTTGCAAGGTACTCTGCTTATCAATCCTAGGATATAGTGTCTTTTGCTTTCACACATATCAAAAACCAACACTTGTAGAAAAGAGATGGATGTTGCGTCAACATAGTGGAAAACAGAGTTTTTCTCTGAGTTTACTGCAGGCATTGGAAGTTAAGCCTTTCCCCTGAGATGAAATGAGCTGTGTCACCAGGTGAAGGAGCTACAAGAAGAAGTGAACAGGCTTTGTAGTATTCAGGCAAATGAGCAAGAGAGAGACCAATTATTTTCAGAGATGCTACAGTCTCAAGAATCTCGGGACTCTCAAATCTCCACTGTAGTGGAGAAGCAGGCAGACTCAGAATCCTGCAGGGTAATTAGTCAACGGACTGTTAGTCAAGGGTTTGGTCAAGGGTTTGTTAAACATGAGGGCTGGAAGTGGGTCACTGAACATAACAGGAGAAAGGTTCCTCCTCCTCAAAATTTGACAGGTAGGACTGGTACCTTCTACAACAGGTAAGAGGCTCTGGAACTAGAAGGCAAGACTACTGATGAAGTGGGAGAATATTCTTGTGGGGTAACAGGGCATCCTAAAACAACACCACCTGTATCCCATATCGAGACCTCCTCTGTTAACAGGAAGAGTAGTTGTAATAGGAGACTCCTATTACAAGAAGTTTCCTTAATGCAAGTTTGCAGACAATACAAAACTGGAAGAAGCTGTTGACTCCCTCAAAGGCAGGGAGGCTCTGCAAAGACACCTTGACAATTTAGAGGACTGCGCAGTCACCAACCATATAAAGTTCACTGGGGAAAAGTGCTGGATTCCACACCTGGAATGGAGCAACCCTGGATGTTCGTACAGGTTGGGAATGAGATGCTGGAAAGCAGTGCTGGGAAAGGGACCTGGGTGTCCTGGTCTACACCAAGTTGGATATGAGTCAGCAGTGCCCTGGCAGCGAGGAGGGCCAACCATTTCCTGAGTGGCATCAGGCAAAGCATCCCCAACTGGTCAAGGGAGAGGATTGTCCTGCTCTGCTCTGCACTGGTGTGGCCTCACCTTGAATATTGTGTGCAGTTTTGGGTGTCACAAGATAAGAAAAATATTAAGCTATTGGAGAGCAACCAAAGGAGAGCAATGAAGATGTTGGAGTGCCTTGAGGGGAAGCCATATAAGCAGTGGCTGAGGTTGCTTGGTCTGTTCAGCCTGGAGAAGAGGAGATTGAGGGGAGATCTCATTGCAGTCTACAACTTCTTCATGAGGGGAAACGGAGGGTCAGGCACTGATCTGTGGTGACCAGTGATAGGACCCAAGGGGATGGCCTGAAGTTGTGTTAGGGAAGGTTTAGGTTGGATATTAGGAAAGGTTCTAAACCCAGAGGGTGTTTGGGTGCTGGAACAGGCTCCCCAGGGAAATGGTCACAGCATCAAGCCTGACATCGAGTTCAAGAAGAGTTTGGATGATACTCTCAGACACATGGTGTGACTCTTGGGGATGGTCCTGTGCAGGGCCAGGAGTTGGACTCAGTTACTCTTGCGGGTCCCTTCCAACTCAGCATATTTTGTGATTTTGTGAAATACAGGGGCCTTGACCACTGTAGATTTTGCACAGAGAAGCAACTTTCCCGTAAGAACTGGAGTTTTAACTTCATTGTCCTGGGGTTATTCAGAGTGGCATAATTATACTCCTCATACCTCCAGTGCCTCTGCATTTCCAAAGATCAAAGGTATCGACTTCAAAGGTAGGAGCAGGAATATATTTTGGTTCATGGATTGCGGTGCACAGCAATACAAAAAGGAGCTGACAACACAACTCATGTTTAGCCACGTGTGCAAGGAGACTTACAAAGCCACATCACAACAGCAGCAAAGTACTGAGCAAGTATGAAAAGCAACATTCCCGGTATGAGCTTGCCAGTGAAGACAGCTCTTTCTCCATCTCACCACTTCTAAACCTCTTTCAGCTGGTGAACCTCTCTTTTCTAAAAAGGTGCAGATTCTTCTTGGATGAATTTCAAACTCCAAAGAGCTGACTTAAGTCTTCAGTGCCCTTTGTAGCCCTTCAGCTGCAGTCAATAAACCAGAATTTGCTGTTTGCAAATTCTTCAGACCAGGCTAAAACCACACTCTATACTGCTTTGGGTAAAGCTGATACTCCTGATTGGAAGTGTTCAAAAAACATCTGGATATGGCATTGAGAACATGGTCTAGCGGTGAACATGGTGGTGGTGTTTATTTTGGTTGGATTTGATGACCTTTGCATGGTTACACTTGACAATCTCAGAGGTTTTTTCCAACCTGAACCATCTATGTATGATTCTATAATTCTATGACCTGAGCACTGTTCTCAGCCCTGCTCCAGCTTTGATTTTGGCCACTGCTTTATGATGTATGATTGAATTCCTACTGTATTTTTGGGGATGTGGGAGTATTTGAGAGCTAAACAGTGAGAGGAAGGATGGGGTCAAACCAACAAGGAAGAGGTTCCTCAGCCCTGGCAGAACGGGAGAGGGAAAGGCTGGATCACTGCAGTGTCTTCATGTTGCATGTGGAGATGTCTATGCTGAAGCCTAGAGAACAGGGATACCATAACATCAGAATTCAAAAGAAGGTATCTCAGGAGCTGGGAAGAGAAGGAATTGGTGCCATGATGTGTGAGGATGATGTAAGAGAGAAGGCAAGTGCAACAATGATTTTCAACTTATGAATAACAATGCTAATAGGTGGGTATGACTTGAGGAAAGAAACATTGTGGAAATGTAGACAATGCTCTAATTAAATATGTGTGAAATAGAATGTAAATGTGTAATGGTAGAGAGGAGAAATCAGCCAACAGTCCACTGTAACAGGGAAGCTGGAAAATAAATAAAAAGGTACTAAAATTCTAAGTACAGAGGTACATGTGTAACTAAGAGCAATTTGATATCTCATAGGTGCTTGCTGCTATTTATAGAGACATAGGAGTGGCAATTTCTTGCAAAAAAAGAAAAGCAAAGCAGGAAGGAATAGCATCTCTGCCTCCCATCTATTCACAGAGAGCTCCAGCCTGGCAGCTGCAGCTTCTTCTGCTCCTGGTCTTCGCCAAGAAAGCTGGGAAGAGCTTTTCCAGGGCTGGGACAGTAATTCAGGCTGAAGGAGGCCTTCCTGAGCCACATGTTAGCAGCAGTGCCATTCACTGGGCTGGAAGGACCAAATAGAAGGTCCCTGGATAGCTCTTAAGCTCAGTTAAAGTCTCTGTATCCCATCATTGATGTCCTAAGTTGTTCCACCCTCCACATGCTCTGGCAAGCAATGTCTGTGGGACTAGTTGGAACCAGTCACCCTTTCCATGAAACTTTTTTTTTAATGATTTGTTTTCTCCTGATATCTCTTGCTGTAATGTCTCTTATATTGAAGACGTGCTGCAGTGCCAGTCACCCATCAATGTGATGGGCAAAGTGAACCCTACCCTGCCAGTAGCCTCTGAACAGGGCCTAAATCTTTCTCATCCTTGTTCAAGGGCATACAAGTGAACTTTCTGCAGAACTGACAGGGTTGTAGGCTTCAGTCCGATAACTGTGTTTTATGGTGAGCAGCTAAATAAGGTGCCACCTCGGAGACCTTATCCTGCAACAGAGTCTGAAAATCTCCTGCAAAAAGGTTTTGCCCCTTAGACTGTTTGACAAGGCTTGTGATCAGCACCGAATCAAGACAGGGTAAATTTAAATCCACAGTTCACAGTGGATTTGACATCCCATCTAAAATGTGTGAGAGACTAAATTTAACCCCAAACTCATGTTGCACAGTACATTTATAAATCTCTTAGCTTACTCTGGAAAAGAAAGAGCATAAACACACCACCACGTCTGATTCTACAATGCTTCCTATAGCACTCCTTTTTAGCTTAAATGATAATTAAATAACATGCATTGATCTCCCTGGGAGCACAAGAGCACAAAAAGGGGAGAATTCTTGTGAAAACACCTTGGCAATCTTCAATGGAGGAGGGCAAAAAATACTTCTGCAATGAGAACTCCAGGAGCCAACAACACCCCTGTGATAAATGGCTGTCTACAAAGAAATTTCCCCAGTGAATTGCTAAAACCATTGGGGTGGCCATATCCAGACTAAATGTCTTGCAGAAATTGTGTAGATCATGCTGGACCATCTTCATTAGTCAACACACCAGGACTGGTCAGCACCATATCCCTCTCTGATCACAGGGGTTCTGCGGATTGTCTGGGACACTAGCTCTTGATGCCACCACTAACCTGCTGCTAACATCTTAGGAAGAATAAAGTGACTTATGACAGGAGTTACTAAATAAATAGTTAATGGTTAAATAAATAAAAGAGCTGAGCCAGCAGCTCTGCCTCTTTTGGCTGTTCTATTTGCTCCACTGTCAAGAGATTATTTTACATCCTTCTTTATTGAAAAACTCAAGTTTCTTTAATTAAAAAAAAAAAAAAAGGGAAGGAGCCCTGTTCCTTGAAACATAGTTTACCTAATATTCACACTGCAGATGGAGTCTGTGTTGCTGTTGGCCAGTGACGGTTGGAATTCATAGCCAGCCAATTTGCAGAAATATTCACTGCTGGCTGGGTGGATAAAGCATCACAACTTTCCATGCGGTGTGTGGGACAGGAGAAGGGAAACTGGCTGCTTTAACATATTTGTGCTGTTTTACAGCTGCCTGGTCAAGTGTAGAGCCAGGTCAGCATTGGTGAGACCGGAAAAAAGTCATGAGGGCTGGCCTCTTTCCCTTCATTCATGCAGAAGCCCCTACCCTGTGCCTTACACCTGTAATAAAGAAACATGTGTATTGTATTATTTCCTAGGGAGGGTCAAGGAGGCAGCTGTGAAACTGGCCTCCTTGTGCTGGGAGCTGGTCGAGCTCATGGTGACAGGTTGTCAGTCCCCAAGGACACCATGCAACCATGGGAGGAAGAGGCACAACTCATATGGATCACATGGATCCATGTGATGGCAGCAGAAAGGATTACTCTTTTACAGTGTCCAGATCCTGTTTTCCTCACTTCAAAGGCCTCATAGAATGATGCTGCAGCCTCTTTGGGATATTCTTTCCCCATGGAGCACCATGTCTTTGCTGCTGTGAGCAGTAGGGTGAGGGGAGAGGGAAAGTAGTAATTTAGTCACATACAGCAGAAAATTATAACATTTCTCAAAATGAACAAAAACATATTGAACTTAACTTCCCTAAGTTTCTCCCTTGCCAGGGAAAGCAGTAATTATTGCTGTGAAGGCAGAGGAGAACATGACACAGAGAATATGATAAATGTCATGCAATCCCCAGGGAGGCAATTAGCACCTTGCAGGTTTTTGTATTAGGGGTGCAGATGCTGCCATGCAGGTACAGACAGGAAGCTTTAAACATCTTGTACACCTTCAGCTACTTTGAACCCCTGAACAGAGCCATAACTCAGTCCTTCAACCATGTAAGATCCACTTCTGCTTCACTAGAAGGGCCCTGATAGGCTCAAAATGTGAATAAGTTCTGGCAGATTTATAGAGATACAAGTAACAAGCCTGAAAATTCATTTTGCAAGTGTTTTTCCAACTGTAGTACAATATAAAACAAAGACACATTCTGTGTTTGAATCTACTGCAAAAATTTTGGAAGGTAAAACTGACACGGGCATCTGAGCTGTGGCTAAATGAGTGGAAACTGTTTTGAACACCAAATAGCTGTCACACAGCTGCAAATTTCAGGAGGCTCTCTCCTTTCAGAAAAAGACCCATCTAATAATTTTGTTGGTTATTAAAATAAAATAAAAACCCCAAGACAAACCAAACAAAAAGGGTGATGACAACTGATCTGCAGATATACAGCAGTTTACACTGAAGAAGCAGCTTCAGTTTTCACTACTCTTTGCAGTTTTTCTCCTGGTAACAAAAATAAGAGGCTATCAACACAGGGGAAAAAGAACAGAGGCTGGGATGGGGAGGGTGAAGAGAAATACTTGACAAGTGTGAGCAAGGAGAGATGGGAGAAATCACACCAAGGTGGCAGGGGTCAGGCAGCAGGGAATAATGAGAGGTGAAGAGTAAGGACTGGGAAACATATATCCTGAAACCAGAACATTGATATTTACTGCAAAGTTTAAGTGTGATTAAATAGCTGCAGTCCTTTTGCTGTGGTGGCATTAAAGGGCACTAAGCGTTTTTCTCAGAGGGTCTGAATTTGCCAGGTGCTGAGCAGGTTCCTGGGAACAGCTCATCAGCCTGTGACTCTGAGACTAGCAAGGTACAGGGTGAGTGCACAGGACTTGCTATTACAAGTTCCCAGCCTTGCCAGCAGTTAGCAGATGAATTACAGGCTTATTGGGCAAGATCTTTAAACAGCCCTGACAAGTATGAGGTGCATTGTGCGGAACAATGTTTTCAAAACATATCAGTCTCAAGCACAGAAAGGTCCAGGCACTCACGGAGGAGAAAGTACTGTCAGGCTGGAGCTGCTTGTAACACTTCAGGAAACAATGGCAATTGTGGTGCAATGCCTTGCGAGCCCAGCTCTTCAAAAGCTTCAACAGATTAGCAAATTTCAGGAATCTAGAGATTGTTCTGAGGTTGCCCAATGAACAGTCATCATAAAATCACTCAATGGGTTTGGGTTGAAGGGGATCTTAAAGATCATCTAGTCCTAACCCCCTTGCCATGGGCAGGGGTATCTTTCATTAGACCAGGTTGCTCCAAGCCCCATCCAACCTGGCCTTGAACAATTCCAGGGATGGGGGATCCACATCATCTCTGGGCAGCCTATGCCAGTGCCTCACTACTCTCACAGCTAAGAATTTCTTTCTAAGTTCTAATCTAAACTCTCCCTCTTTCAGTTTGAAGCCATTCCCCTTTGTCCTATCGCTCCATAACCTTGTCATAAGTCCCTCTCTAGCATTTTTTGAGCCCCTTTAGGTAATGGAAGGTGCTCTAAGGTCTCTCTGGAGCCTTCACTTGTCCAGGCTGAAGAACCCCAACTCTCTCAGCCAGTCCTGCTATGCCTAGAAAGCTCTCAGTGCTCTGTTCTATTACTGCCAGCAGCACAGGTAGAAAACACCTATACTAATTGGTGAGGTACAGTTATGACTGTCCTTTGCTTGCTTAAACAGCCTGAGGCAATGTTAAACCTGCAGTGGCTGATAGGAGGTCACGCATTCTTGGTGATGCGGAGGTCTTGCAGGGAGATAGCAGTACCACCTATGATGGCTAAGGGAACATCAGCACATAAGGAGATATAAGGATATATTCCAGTCATAAAGGTTATGTCACTGAGGATGAACAGCCAGTTTTCTGTCCTGCAGCTTCATCCCTAATGCAGACTATACAAATCAGCCCTGTCCCTTTTTGCCATGAGACTGGGGACTGATGGGATGGGAAGTGGAGGCCAAAACTGCTCATGATTCTCACTTACCCTCAGTCGACGTCCAAAGACGGTGACCTGCCCTCTTGCTTGCTCCTTCCTCTGCCTCCACTCCACAAGATTGAGTCCATTGTCGATGGGGAGGGTGACATTCCTCTTGCCCACTGTGGGGTTGACAGTGCCAGCCAGCAGATGTGGCTCGGTTTGCAGGGCCACCTCCATGCCGTTGGCAAGCATCAGTCTGAGAGAGCCATCAGCACCGATGTAGTAGCTGTTTCGGACTTGGTCTGAAGACAGAAAAGAGATCTTTGCTCATCTTTGATGATACAGCTCCAGCTTTTCATTTGTTCCCTCCATCAGGCTGCATCAGCATTTCCGATGATTGTAAACCAAATACACTCTGTTACTCACCTATCCCACTCACACTGAGCAAAACATTGGTTTCATCAGCAAAAGTAAATATGGGCAATCCCTTTTTCATTCTGATGAGGTTTCTGCACCTCAAATTCTTACAGAAAGTTTTACACAGGTTAAAAAAGGCAACAGTCAAAGAACTGTGTAATACCTTATCAAAGGATGTGGGTTCAAACCTGTTCCTCTAGGCTAAAACTCTGGGTGGTGAGATATTCGTTTTAAATCAGTCTGACTGAAAACCTTCCATGCTTTTATATCCTAAAGATCCCAATTTCACAACAATATATGAAAAAGTGGGGCCACCTACTTTCCTCAGCTTATTCACTGTCTCACAAATGACAGGAAATTGCACAGTGAGTTAATGCTAACCAGTTCCCCAAACAAAGCCAAACTCTTTCCCTTGGGAAAGCTTTCAGGGGGCAACTGAAGTCCTCATGTTTGGAGAGAAAGCAGAGGCATTAAGCTCCCACATGTCTCCATACATCTGGCCTCAACTAGGTCTTGAAAAATCAGTGGATTCTGAGGCCAGTATTTGGGAGTTCAGATGTGGAACAGAAGAGCAATCTCTCTTCTACATCCTCCAGGAATCAGGCAGGCTGAAAGCCCATCCTTTGAATCTCCAGCTGGCATTTCTCTCTGCAGAGAGGAGCTCATGAAGGGTAAGAAAGCATGAGACTTGCTCAATGCAGAATGGCTTTAAAATCATATACAAAGACTGCCTTATCTGAAGCTCCTCAAAAGCTGGAAAATATTACTGTTTCTGTCTTCCAGGGTGCCATAAATTCCTAATTGTGAATAAAAACACCCATTAAAAATTCACACAAAATGTTTTTCCATTCTGAGGCAAGTTCACTGATTGCTCTGCTGTAGCTCAGCAGGAAAAAAGATCACAGAGAAATTATCATCTCTCGACCGGATGAAGTAGATCAGGAAAGAGCACAGTTTGGTATAATTAGGGACAGAAACCTGACACCAATTGGTCTTTTTTTATGTGGGTCTCATCCTGTTCCTGGTTGTAGCCAGCTGGAGTCCTGCCACAGTGACCTCAGCAGAACCACCACTCAACTTTCTGTACACAGTAGTGACAGTGTGAAAATACAGGGGCACAAGATTTTGCCATAAACATACAGCAGTGATCCACAATGCAGATCCAAGTATTTTAGCTCTACCAATGAGTATGTAAGTTGATGGTCTTTGACATAGCCTCCAGCCGGACAAACTCCACTCCATGCTTTAGTCTGCAAATGGAGAGTAGGGCCACAGTCAGATGGCTGTCGCACTTCTCCTAGATGCTTGGTTTGGCGATAAAGTGTTAGGAGATGCATTTTAAATCAAATCAGTGAAATATCCCTGCATAGCTAATATATTCCTCGCTTCTTTATCCTTCACCAGGAAGCAGGGGAAAGCTTGAAGGTTTACATGAAATTTACCAGACATGTGATGTTCCTTTTGTGTTACATAAGCACCACGGAAGGGTTATTGTCACCAGTACTGTGCGGGAATGTAAATCCTCTGCTTTCAACATTTTCCCAAGAGAAGACTCTTCCCTGGCTTTGGAAAGCATTTCTCAAGGGCTACATGAAATCCATGAGCCATTGGATGCTGTATTTTAGGCTGCTTTGGCTCTAGGGCACTACTGCCCTACTTTGGCATTGCACAAATGCTCACTTTGTCATTAGTCCAGAAGACAAAATCCCACCAGGGTGCTGATGTGCCTGTTGCAGAAGCTCATAAATCCATCCTACAGGAATTTGTAACCTTCTGAAAATGTCTTGTCAGACCTTACCTGTTCACAGCGTGATCCAGGTTTCCTGAAAGGTTCACCAAGAATTTGGCTCACCAAGTCACCTCGTCTGCAACATTATCCAGATCTTCGTTTTAAGATGAATTTCTTCAGATACAAACAGTTTAATAATTTTATACTTCTGAAGATGGTTAAGCTGTTTGTAATTCTGCATGTTCTAATGGCCAGAATGTTCCTGTGCCAGAGGGCAGGACAATGAGAGAATTGACTGTGGCAGCATTATGTAACTGTGCCTTCAGTGCTGAGGGTGTAAATCACATCACAGTCAATTTTCTCACTGAAGGGCACCCAACAGTGGGCTCTGTTGCTTAATTAGGCTCTCGAGGTGATACCAACCTCATGTCTGTGCAGTTGCCACGTGTCTTAATGTGAGTGAATGGGATGGGGTGGGGTAGGTTGGATCTGCCTTGCAAGCTCAAGTAAAGAATAAGAAAGTCATTGTGTTTCCCTATAGGAATAATGAGGACAGCTTGAGGGGGCTGGCATCCTCTCACTTGCCCTCTCCGAAGGAGAAAAATCAGTGCTTAAGCATAACAGGCACTTTCTTTTAGGAAAGCTTGGTGTTATAGGGAGGGGGAGGGAAATGTGTGTCCCAGAGATGTGGGAACAAATGTGACTCCGGAACATGCTTGTCTCACTTGGAGGAGGTTGTTCCTTACAAGGTGAAAAGATGTTTAACAGCCCATTGTCATCAGGGACAGACTAAATGAAATCTGGAGAGTGAAGAAAGCAGAATCTGAAAGTTCCTTTCCTTTCCCCAAGCTCCAGGGAACAGTGGTGATAGCTCATCCTGATCCTAAGGAGGCTTCAGCCTTCAGAACCCGGAGATCCAGGCTGGCATTGTTTGTGCAGTACAGGTTCTGCCCCTACCAGTATTTCACCTCAGTGATCCCCTGATATTTATTCCTCTTTTCTTTCCCACTTCATCACCTTTCCTCCACCTAATCAGTCCTCTGCTTCTCACCTTCTCACCAGAGACAGAACTGTGCTCATTTCCCACAGCCACAAACTGGTCCCACCAATGGACAGTGGCTGTCCACTTCTCTTTTGTCCCTTGTGCCTCTCCACACCAGCTCTTTAGTTCGAATGCAGACCTACTGGGCACAGGAATGGTAATTTTTTTGGATGCTTCTTTGTGGACGTTTGAACAGCCACTGAACAAAGAATCAGATCTTCAGCAACCAGCTGGAAGCTTGTTCCAGGAGGAGAGTAACTGTTAAGTTAGAAGCCATTAAGAGACTGAAGCAAAGGGGATGGCTGAAAGTGTGGTTCGATTTATGCAACCCTTTTTATTACAACAATAATGGTAATGATGATGGAGGATTGTACTGCATGAGACTGCACGGCAAGGGGACTGGCTGGGAGTGCAGAAAAACAGCTGCAGAGCAACCGCTGTGCTTGGGAATGTGGCTAAGTAGCTGTGAGTGTGTGTCTGTACCAGCATGTGGGGAGCTCTTGGGCACTGGGGATGCAGGTGATTTTTGGTGCTGGGATTATCAAGACGATGCCTGTTTCCTGATTTTGTGCAGCTTGGTCAAGAGAGGGACAGTGGCTCAACTCACCTTGGAGCAGGGTGTAGAAGGCTCCTGATGCTGACAAATTGGTTGTTATCGTGACATCATCCTTGCTGGAGGTTTCCACCTGGACGTGCACGGAGCTGTCGGTATCACTGCGGAAGCTGCTCACTTGGCCAGTAGGGAAGGTCACGTTGGTCAGGCGGCCAAAGCTGTCGTACCTGAAAGAGAGGGTGGAGTGAAGTCAACAGCATCAACAGAGAGGTGGGAGGCAGGAATCATCCTATAAAGCAGAGACCAAGTCTTCAAGTCTTCATCCAGATTTCTCCCAGAGAAAAATGCATTGTCACTCTGTCAGGCTGTCCTGACTTTTTCTGGCTTCATGAGAAGGAAATCACAGCTTTTAGCTGAAGAAAATGAACAGAAAGTGACTAAATATGTATTAGCCTGCATTTTAACAATATTTTTCCAATTCTTCTCACCTGAACCATGCTTCTTGTTTATGAGAGTAACTTTATTGCTCTTCCACTATATGGTGACTTAGGAAAACACCATTCACTGGCTTGTGAATCCTGTCTAGCAGAACTACGAGTTTCTGAAGGCCATCAACTATTTTGTCTGGCTGTGCCCTGAGCTTTTCAGCAATTTATTTTTTTTTACCTTTTTTTTCCTATCTTATTTAAAAGCTAAATGTTAAGATAGCATCAAGGGCCTGCCAGATTGGTCACATCAGGTAAGAGAACTGTCCTTTGTGAACATGGTGTAGAGCCCCGAGCACAGCTGAAACCCCAGTGCCTACCTTTTACTTTACTAGGACCATCTGGAAGGACTGATTTAAAAGCGTAAAAAAGCAGATCAGTTTTCACCCCTACTGTGTCCTTGGCTTTTCCAATGAGGAATCAACATAAGTGCCATCTGGGAAGGTTTCTGTGATGTGGACACCCATGTACCAAGACCCAGATGAAATAAGCTCCATACATGCAGGTCCCACAGCAGTTAACAAGCTGGGGGAGTTATTTTTCGATAAAAAGATAAGCAGACACTTGTGTCTAGAGTCCTCCTGAGTTGACAGAGCAAACACCATCCTGCCTCTCATTTGTGGCATTACAAAACAGGTGCCTGTGGGTTACAGACTGAGCTAGGGCCAGAGGGTTGGCAAGGGACCTTTGCAGCAAGGCTATTGTAGTCTGAAATTGAGGGTAGTAGGAAGCTCTACTGGCTTATCTCTGGAGGGCTGTTGAAAGTTCTGATAAGACGGACCTTCAGGGAAGGGATATTTAAATAGTCAGGGAGAAACAATAGGAAAATTCCAGCAAATCAGTCAGTGATAAATGTTGGACTTTTTTCAAGTCCTTCCCCTCTTTTAAGAATGATTTATATGATATACAAGAAGATGATGTTATGAAAACATATCACTTGGGGATGCAAAATGAATGCTGGGTGAGCAGAGAGGACATGTGTTCCTGCCCTATGCAGTGGTGAGCCTTTGATGGATCACAGTGTCCAGTGAAGGGCACCATTCCTCAGAATGACAAAGTAATATAAAGGATACATTAAGGATAACAAGTTTAGAAAACATGATCTAAGAGGCAAAGCCAAAATAAAAGAGTTGATTTAGAAAAGGGAAGACGAGGAAATGGGAAAATACCACCCTGACAGTGGATATTCTGAAGCAGATTATAATTAATTGCTCGTCATGTCTATTGAGGATGTGACAAAAAGTAATCAGTTTGAATGGAAACAAGGAAAATTCAGGTTAGAAGCTACAGAATATTTTCAAGGCCCATTGTTGCTCTAAGGAGAGGAAGAGATGGAGCGCTGAAAACCCCACTGCCCAACACTTTTAAGAATAGGGGAGGAAATGTGTTAGAGGGGATCTGGATTCAGATGATCAGACCTTGGAGGGAGAAAATGGTTGAGGAGCTCCTGATGCTTCTCTTTAGGATTACTCTGAGCTGGGGAATAAGAAAATAGATCCCATCTAGTAACAAAACCCACAAACCAAACAAAAAGAAGAGAGAGAAGAGAAGAGAAGAGAAGAGAAGAGAAGAGAAGAGAAGAGAAGAGAAGAGAAGAGAAGAGAAGAGAAGAGAAGAGAAGAGAAGA